GGTCCGAAGCAATTTAGAGAGACTCTGTCTTAAAATAAAAAGGCCTGAGGATATTTACCTGGCAGGGGAGATAGCATGGTCACTAAGGTGTTCTTCCCAGGTTGAGGCCTATCCATTGTACTCGGGATGCGCTGACTCCTGTGATTTCCCCAAATGTGGGAAACATGACTGCATAATTTGTTCTAGTGGAAGACTGTCTTCTTGCTTTCCCCAAGTGGGGAAAAATGGTATCAGTTCCTTAAAAATCATCAACTAAAAATAGTCAATTGTCTCATTATATTTCATTTTTTTAAAAAAAGTTATGGCCCAGATAACATTCTTGTATTGTATTGTATTATATTTGGTTGACATATAAGATTTACATTATCTCTTTTTTTGGTTCCTTGGGTAAATTATTTAGGTAGTTGAAAAATCAGGTTAATTTGCCTGTGGTTTTCTACATTCTGGATTTTTCTGATTGCATTCTTGTGATGTTGTTTAACTTGTTTCTTTTAGTTAGATCTAAAAGCATGATTAGCTTGATTATATTTGAACTTGTTTTTGGAAGCATATGCCTGCCTGTAGTATCACTCAGGAGGTACCCATAATACCTGGTTATCTTTAGGGATGCTAAGCTTGATCAGTAGGTTCAGGTGTATCTTCCTGACCTGTCATTTTTAGCTTTCATCTAATGATTTTGGCAGCCACTGATGATTGTTGCCACACTGGGAGTGCTTATTTCATTAAGGAGTGACACAATGGTGATATTTAATTTTATCATTTCTTGTCCATACATTAACTGGAATTTTTGTATAAACAAGAACTTTTTACTCATTAACTTTTTGCTTTCTTTGCCACTTTGCAGTTAAGATTTTTATTTTCTGGTATGCTCCACAGCTTGTTAATAAGTTTTTTTTTTCATTTTTCCTCCCCAAGTATGAGTACATTATGAATTTTTTATGTATTTAATGTATTTCAATCCATAGTTATTATCTTTTTTTTTTTTTTGGTACCAAGGATTACACTTAACCACTGAGACACATTCCCAGCCTTTTTTGTATTTAATTCAGAGACAGGGTCTTGCTGAGTTTCTTAGGGCTTTTCTAAGTTGCTGAGGCTGGCTTTGAACTCTTGATCTTCCTGCCTCAGCCTCCTGGGCCACAGCATTTACAAGCGTGCATCACCACACCTGGCCTATTATCTCTTTATGCTGAAGTAGTCTTGTCTTTGGCCAGTGAGAGCCATTTAAAATGGCTCCTGGATCTTTTTATTTGACCCCATGAAATCCTTGATTTCTTTCACAGTAAGATAATTCATTTTCATTTTGTTTGTTTCCTGCCCAGACCTGTAATCAGCAGTATCTCCAAAAACTGTGGTCCCTTAGTTTTTCCATTTTTTTGCTCTATTTAAACTCTTATGTCTGTTTTCTCTTT